TGACTTGCTCCACAAAGCATACCCCTCTCAATCAGTTAAGATGTTTTCATCTTTCTACAAAAGCAAAAACAAACAAACAAAAAAGCCAAAAACAAAAAGCAAAAACAAAACAAACGCCGTTCCCCATTTCTAGGGCTCGAGCAAGGAGACCTGCCGACCACTGTGGCTGCCCTCGGTTCACCTGCTGCTGTTATCCTGGGAGGTACCCAGCTCTCTCCTCCCTCACACTAGCCCCTTGCTGACCGCAGTCCCAGTCTCTGGGAGAGCACTCACAAAGCCAAAGGAGACCCATGTGTGCGCCACAGAAACGTGACACAGGCTGGTGTGCCAGAGCTTCTCCAACTACTTCTACTGGTTGATGCTAAGTCAGCCTCTGCCTCCTCCAGGGCGTCCTGCAGCTGGCTCTGAGGGGCTCCCTGCATTCTTTGTCTGCTCTGGGCCAAGGCCACTCTGCATGTGCATCTCCAGTTCTCAAGGTCTGCTCCGTTTACCCTGTACCCCCAGACTTGACCAACAGTCCTGAAGCCCATCTGTGTGTACAAACACCTCAGGGACTTGGGGACCAGCTCTCGCATATTGCACTTAAGTACTGATCAGTTGTTTTCTGCCCTGTGGGAAGAGGTGAGTGGGTCCCTCTTCTTTGGCCAATAAAATCATTAGGTTCATTGTATTCGCTATGGCAAGGCTGATTTCTTTTCTTGATCATCTGTGATGATGGGACATGGGGTACTCCCAAAAAGAGCTGCTGCTAATTCTCGAACATTGAAAATACTGCAATCTTGACATCAGTGAGTCAGACCAACACCCCCTCTAGGGCTGATTCTGCTTCATGGTTGGGATGACCTCTCTCAAGCTGCAGGCTCAGCTGTGATTTCAACCGCACAGGAGGCCTGGGATGGACTGTGGGCCCAACTAATGAAGAAGGACCGGGCTGTCAATGCCTTCCAAACCACTCCACTCACTAACCTGCCCACGAGCCCCGCAGGCATATTGCCTATGCCTGGCAGAAATGGCTCTCGAAACCCCAGCTCAGTCAGGCTTTGGGGAATGAAAGATGTCTTATTGCACTCTTCCCATGCCAGGACTTAAGTACTGCGTCTTTGCAGCTCAGACCATTCCTCCTTGCCTCCTTCCACCCCTGAAGCTCTGCCTTGTTCAACACTCAATTCAGTGAGACCCCAAGGCAGATGTAGACACCTATGGGTGACTTCTGACTCAAAGCAGTTTTCTGGTTAGGGACGGGGGTATGATGGGAAAGGGGCAGGGGCCTTAGCTGCATTCCATCCACTCAGATTCTCTACCTCTTTGATGCATTTTCCTTCGGTAACCAGAGCCCCCGAGAATGAGGATTCTGATTCAGCCTTGTACCGACTGAGGAAGGAGATGGAAGAATTCCACTTAGCGGTTGGATCAGACAGTTTTGGAAAACACCAGCACGGCACAGAATGGACAGTACAACCTGCCCCGCACGGGCGCTACTGACAGTTTACAGGAAGCTTGTATGGCGGTCACATGTAAACATCATTGAGAGCAAACACTAGGACAGAGCTACGATGAGATGGTTGCCAATGGCAGCTGCTCCCTCTGGGTTACTCCTTAATTTGGTGGCAAAGAGACCAAGGTTGACTAGTTTTCCTGGAGAGACCTTGGAGTCTCATTGGTAAATAATACACAGCACCGATTGAGTCTTCCAGATAGACTGTCTGAAGGGTTGGTCAATTTTAGAACATGGAGCCTTTTATGGGTGGGATGGTAAGAGACTACTTGCCTTGGCAGGCATCCTCCCCACCCCCAGTGACCCCCAACACTGACCACAGGCTTATCATGCCCTGAAGTCAGGCTCAGGTCTCTGCTCTGCTCATGGGCCAACGTCTGTGGCCACTTCAAGTGCCTGGGTTAATCTGATGTGAAAGGGCAGCTTTGCCTGACTCCAAAGAGGAGTGGGAGAGACTCAACGTTCACATAAGTCTGCACTCCTTTAGCTAAAGTACCACCAGCCCTAGGTAGAGCTTCTGACCTGGGGCCATCAAGGAAGGAGCAAATAAAGAGGGGCTTGGAGCTCTTCTCCTCTAATTTCTTCCAGCACACTGAGAGCCAGGGAGGGGAAGGAACCTATCAAAGCTACAGAGTAAACTCTCAGTAGGGTTAGGACTCCCCCAGTGCTCCAAATGATTCTAGTGCTCTTTCCTGTTGGTTACTATAGGGTGAAATCTCAGGACCCCTTGATGCAAAAACTTGGTCAAATACACCTTGATGCAAATCAGGATTTAATGGAGGCAGCAGAAGGACTTAAGTTCTATTCCATTCCATAACCATTTATTGCATGCCTACTATGTGCTAGGCAGTGAATAGCTATAAAGGAATTTAGGATGCTCAGGTCTGTGCTGTGGAAAATCCTCCTAAGCCCTGTGTTTGTCAAATAAGTTACTATCTGCTATTTCACAATCGCCCTGGCATGCCCCACCCCAATGGGGTTGTGTGTTACAGCAGTATTGGGAGTCTTGTGCCAAGGAATGACTTTGGGGACTTCTCTCTCATAGATCAAGACACAACGGACAGAGATGGGCCAGCATGAAACTCACACACATGAGTTCTGTGTGGCTCGTGGAAACTTCAAAGATTAGACCAGGATGTCAAATACTTTAAACTCGGGTCAATTAGTAATGGCTGTCCAGAGTACCATGTTGAGGATTCTAATAGCACATCAAAGCTCAAAGAACAAGATTGCTGTGATCGATTAGTTATGTCTGCATTGGACAAGGATGTGGAACTTGTAGTGCATGTATTGTGTATTTGCCATCTTGAGCATGATACCATCTTAGCAGCAGCTGAGACTGTTAAGAATTCAGTTCCTTCTCCCCTCCTCAGTTTACTTCACAGAAAAGGACTCTGGAGTTCAGAGAGGCCAAATGACTTAACACATAGGAGCACACATTTTCTATTTCTAAAGCCTGTCTCCTCCAGTCTTATCTCTAGGCAGGGAGTATGTTTACCACCCAGGACAAAATTGTGGGCTCAGTTTGCCTACCGAGGTATTTTATAATCTTGAAAAAAAATTTTTTTTTTAACTACCAATTCTCAAAGGAATAAGCTTGGCATTAGCAAGAGATTAAATGAGCTTGTTTTGTTTAATGAGTCATTTTAAATGTTTGTAAAGCAGCAGGAGATTTTTTTTAAATACAAAAATTTCCCAAGGAACCCTGATTTATGAAAGAGATCAAGGAGGAGCTGCTCTGTCCGAAGCAGAAGCAATACCCTGCCTGGCCACACACCCTCCCTCACGAAGGGCCCCCAAGGCACCCGTAGAACATCAAGCTGGACATGGCTTTGACATCACTCAAGAAGACAAAGCTTAAAATAAAGCCCAATTGGGATGTTTCTAAGTTGGAAGAGGACTTGGGGAGATCGTCTTATCCATCCCCAAACTTCATATCCTCCTCACGGCCCCTCCTGCCCTACACCACCCCAACAAACTGACAAGTGAGGAAAACATAAAAACAGGGGCCAGATGCAGTATGGGCTGGTGTCAGGCCCTAAAAGGATGACTGCTCCCAGACTGCCTGCCTACACTGCCAGGCGCATGTCTGGAGCTCTGACAGTGTCTGCAAGGGGAGGGAAACCGGGGGTCCACTCAGGAGCCAGGCTGATGGTGTACCCATGGCATGTGCCAGAGCTTGACCTTGCCCTAACGCAGGAGAGCTGACCCTTGACTAGACCCTCCAGAGGAGCCTTGGGCTTCCAGATTATTGCCCAACTTCACCAAACTCACCTCTACAGTCCCTGAACCCTTGTTTCTTTCACCAGCTACTGGAGAAGCAGGGGATCCGGACTCAAAAAGCAGGGTCTGGGTCAGTGCTCTGCCTTGTCACTGGCCCCGGGACCTCAGGCAAGCCATTTAGCCTCTTAGATCACTGTGTCCCTCACCTGGAAAATGAGAATAACGCGGGCCGCCCTGCCTTCCTGATGAGGCATGTAAGTATCTGAGCACTGGAAGCATGGCTGGGCACCAGATGGGGGCTCTCATGGTCCTTTGACCCAAACTTGCTCAAAAAAGAGACAGAACAAGTGTTGGCAGAAAAGGCCTGACAGTCCCTCTCCACCGCTCCTAGCTGGGGCTGCAGGCTACACTTTCCTGGGGTCCTGCCTAGCGGCCCCCTGGCACCTCCAGAGCCACCCGGCAAAGGGGAGTAGAGCAGCTCAGTGGCAAACACCTCATAACAGTGCATAGTTAAACATCATGGAAGTGATACAATAATCCCAGGCCCAGTACATCTGAGCCATAGATACATTATTGGAAGGATATACTTTTGTTTTTCTTCAATTAAAAATGAGTTTATAATCCTGATTCTATTCACAAGTAACAATTTCATCACACACTACAGACGAGAAATGTTATGGTGAACACAGCCGCAAGTCTACCAGAGGAAGTCGGTCGGGAAGGAAGGGGCAATGGGTGACCGACCCAGCACTTCAAGGCGCACCCAGGACAACCCGTTGGAAGCGAGGACACTAATGTGGCAGTGGGACGTCAACACCATGGAAACTCACAGACAGAAGCAGCTTTGTTCAATGTAAACATTGATTTTTTTTTCTTAAAAGGACAGAGCAGTTTCAAGTCTCTCTCTCTCACGTGTGTTCGCTCGCACGCTCGCTCGCTCACTCCTTCTCGTATATTCAATTTCTTTGAAAACGTAAACATATTGGAAGGGCCTTGTCTGAGGTATTGAGGTATTCCTCGAAGGTTAAGGCTGTTATCAATGCAGGCTCTGCTGGGCCTCTTTCAGTAAGCTGTCAAAATCCATGGCTTCGTACTTGCTTTTCACGGAGGCGGGAAGGGCCTCTTCTGAATTGGAATCTGGGCAGGAGGGCGGAGGAGTGAGAGAGAAGGGAAGGTGGTGGGCAACTCAGCAAGGCCAGATGAGGAGAAGAGCTGCCACGAAGGGTCAGGCCCTCGGAACGGAGGTGGCCTGAAGCTTTCAAGAGCAGCAAGGAGCAGTCTCTCTCTCTCACGTGTGTTCGCTCGCACGCTCGCTCGCTCACTCCTTCTCGTATATTCAATTTCTTTGAAAACGTAAACATATTGGAAGGGCCTTGTCTGAGGTATTGAGGTATTCCTCGAAGGTTAAGGCTGTTATCAATGCAGGCTCTGCTGGGCCTCTTTCAGTAAGCTGTCAAAATCCATGGCTTCGTACTTGCTTTTCACGGAGGCGGGAAGGGCCTCTTCTGAATTGGAATCTGGGCAGGAGGGCGGAGGAGTGAGAGAGAAGGGAAGGTGGTGGGCAACTCAGCAAGGCCAGATGAGGAGAAGAGCTGCCACGAAGGGTCAGGCCCTCGGAACGGAGGTGGCCTGAAGCTTTCAAGAGCAGCAAGGAGCACTGGACTGTGAGCCACCAACTGCTGCCCTGCTGTGACATCTCTACATGCCATCAACATCTCAGCTCAGCTGCCGTGCTGACAGAGTGAGGGGACCCAAGCTGGAGTGCTTCAGACCAGCTCCCTAGCTCTGACATCGCCCTCAGAGCCTCACGGAACTGGTTACGGACGTTACATAAGGGGAGGGCTAATACCAGCATGCCCTCCCTGTGCAGACGGGGAGACAGGGTCCCCTGAGTAGACGTGCAGCCATGTGCAGCACTGGCTGGCCTGGAACCCACCAGGTCTCCAGAAAGGCAGCCCTGGACTCCAGAGGCTACGTCGGACTCTCCTCTACAAAAGGCTCCTTCCTACATTCTACCTCTTCATCCTTCACCAGCTTGTCCCCAGACCAGATGGCAAGGGCATGATGGCAGCATTGTTTCACACTTGATGGACAAGGCTACTGCCTTGTTTGGGGGTCATCATGGGACACCCCTCAAGGAGGCAGGGCAGCAGCTGGCCCTGGGAGGTCAGACAGCAGCCCTGGGTCTGCCAGCTGAGTGTGCCCATGGGTGGCACCTTCCCAGGCCGCCTCCCTTTTTGGACCTAGTCACAGGAAAGGACAAGATGGACCAGAGACCAGGAGGAAAACCAGATGGGCACCTCTAGGTGAAGGATCAGCAGAAGCCTGGGCCCCGGTGTGGGGCCTAGCCCAGAAGGGTCTTTAGGTCTGGGTGTCAGTAAAGGCAGACACTGTCCCTTATGCTTTGGGTCCTACTGGAATGTGGCTGGGCCTGTGTCCTTACCGTAGTCGGTGTATCTGGGCCAGCAGAAGTGCCTCCGCCCTCCATAGCTCAGCTGGAAGGATGGTTCGTTGCGCTTCCTCAGGGTGGCGCCGTTCCTCAGGGAGAGGGCCGCGTGCTCAGAACACCTGTAGGTGATGAAGCCGTACTTCTCGCCTCTGGGGGGGACAGGGCCAGGGGAGTCTGTCATTGGCTGGCTTGTGGACACTGTCAGACCACACTTTACTATGAGAACCAGAATGCTGCCATGATTTGCTTTTAGTTTTTTTTTTTAGAGAGACTTTTGCTATAGGGTACACGTGCTAGCTGGAGAGACAGACAGAAAGCCAGAAATCGCTCCTCCAGAGGGGATGGCCATGCTGCAATCCCTTTTTCTCCATTCTCCTCTTGGGATCTAGGTTATGGGCATGCCTGCACACGCACCTGGCATGAGGTTTAAGCCACTGGGGCCGGGACTTGAATCACAGTCAATAGCATGGGAGTCCAGCGGCACAATCATTACGCCATCTGCTGGTCCCTTGTGTGCCACCACGCCCCCCCCCTTTTTTTTTTGTGGAGAGGTTTTTGCCACAGGGCGCGGGCGCTCACCAGACAGAGAGACAGAAAGTGAGAAATCACCCCCCCAGAGGGGATGGCCATGCTGCAATCCCTTCTCCTCCATTCTCCTCTTGGGATCTTGGGTATGGGTATGCCTGCACACGCACCTGGCATGAGGTTTAAGCCACTGGGGCCGGGACTTGAATCACAGTCAATAGCATGGGAGTCCAGCGGCACAATCATTACGCCATCTGCTGGTCCCTTGTGTGCCACCACGCCCCCCCCCTTTTTTTTTTTTAAAGAGCGATCTTTGCTGCCATGATTGGTACCCATGTCACCTGCCACAGGAGAGATGATCATCATTGGCTGGCCTCTGCAGGGTCACTACTGGAAGAGCAGCTGGTCTGCTGAGGGTCTGCCGGGTGCTGGCCCCACACGACACCTCTGCAGGTGGTCCTGTGAGGTGGGTACCATCATTTCTACTTCACAAATGAGGAAATAGGCTCTGCAGAAGTCAGTCATTTACTCAAAGGCAAATGGCAGGGCCAGGATTCAAACCCAGGCCTAATGGGTATGCAGTGTGTAATGATGCTTATCAAAGAAACTACCTCCTCACTGGAGCTTTTTATTACTATTAAGTCAGAATTAAAAACTCGAATAACTTGGGCCAGCAGGTGGCATGGAGGGTAAGGCCCTAGATCCCATATAGCCTACTGTGCAGTCTGAATCCCGGACCCAGTGGTTTGAAAATCATTCTGGGCCCGTGTGCATGCATGCCCCAAATCCTGAGAGGATTGGAACAGAAGGAATTGGGGCATGGCCATACCCCTGGGGGTGATTTATTTCTCTCTCTCTGGCAAGTATGCATGCCCTACAGAAAAACTAAAAAGAACCATAATAACTTAAGTTTCCAGGTATAATGGAAGATCACTTAGAAATATTTCAAAACCAACAGTTTCAACATCTGATTTTGCAGATCCCCTGATGGATAAAATGCCGCTTTTCCAGAGAGGCAAGGAAACTCCAGGATGCCTGACCAAACAGCCTAGCCTGGCTGCTGTGCAGGAGGGAGGGAAGTGGGCAGTGTGGAGCCTGTGGTGCCATGAGGCCTTCATGCAAGCGTGTCTCCAGGCTGCCAGAGGCTGGTCACTTTTTTTCTTTCCCGGACCAACGCCCTGAGCAGACATGGGTACTGGTTCTGGCTCTGCCAGGAACTAGTTGCTTAGTTAACTTGTCTGAGCACTCCAGAAAGGAGAGCAATAAGAGTGAGAGCCTACATCCGGCAGGTGGTTATGAGGCTGGATTCCCACATGGCTGACCACGGTTCAAGTCCTGGATCTGAAGGCTTTCTTTATCACTCTCTCTGGTCAAAATGAATAATAATAATAATAATAAAGTTAGATAAATAATTCTTTAAAAAAAATAGAGAGAGAGCACCTATGTCAGGAGTACAGAAAAGTTTAGTAACAGACTGCCTGGAGGGCCAGTAGGAGGCGCAGTGGTTAAGGTGCCGGATCCCACATGGCTGACTTCATGTTGGAGTCTCAGACACGATAGCTTCAAAATCATGCTGGACACATGTGCGTGTGTACCCCAAATCCTAAGAGGAGGTTCGAGAAGGGGTTGTAGCATGGCTATCCAAATGATTTCTCACTTTTTCTTTCTGTTTCTTTCTGGCCAGCATACATGCCCTATAGCAAAACTAAAACAAAACAAAACAAAACAGAGAGCAGGAA